TACTTATTGCAGCATTACTCATAATACCTCCAAACTGGAAACAACTTGAATGTCCCAACAGTAAGGTGGAGATGTGGTACTCACACAAAGGAATAATATATAGCAATAAAAATAAATGCCCTACAGTTATATGAAAGATCACAGATTAATTTAATTATGAGTAAGAGATTCCTGATACAAAATAGATGCTGTATGATTTCATTTATCTACATTTAAAAAACAGGCAGATCAAAAACTTGGTGTTGGTACATGAAATTTTGAAAATTACCTCTTCTCTTTTGAGAAATTTTGAGAAATTTGAAAATTATCTCTTTTGAACGAATATTGTCAAATCATCAAGAGGGAAAGTCCCAAATCCCCAAAACAGGCACATTGATGGTATTTAAAGTAAAGATAGAGGTTACTCTAGAGAAAGAAGTAGTGCCAGGAAAGGTGACAATGAGGTTTCTGAGATGGGAGGTAATGTTCTTTCACTTGGGTGATAGTTAAGTGGGTGTATGCAATTTTAATAATTCAGTGAACTATGTAATGACAATATGCATACATTTAGGTACCATGGTTTAAAATTTAAAAAATACCTTCAAGCCAGATCATTCTATTCTTTGCTTAAATATCTCCACTGATCTTTTCTAAACAGTGAAAACTAAACTTTTTACAATAGCCTGTAAGTCCCTAAAGGATCTGTCTTCACCTGTTATCTCTCTACCATCTTGTCCTACTACTTTCCTTACTGCCACACTGGCCTCTGCTCTTTCTCCAATATATTACACTTTCTTCCACCTCTGCTTCCTTTGATTAACTATTCTTTTTGCCTAAAATGCAATTCCCCCAGAGATCCATACAAATTGTTCTTTCACTTTAAGACATTGTTTAAATGTTACCTTCCCTATGAGGATTTCCTTACTACCCTAGTTAAAGTCATGAAATTCCCCCACTCTAACATTCTCACTCCACTCCCTACTGTATTTTCTATCCACAACATTTTCTAATACTACAATATAATTATCTTATTTATGTTATTTTCTTCTTCCTCCAAAAGAATTGATGTACTATGAAGACAGGAGTCGTAGGGTTGTTTCATATAATATCCCTGGGATCTTAAATATTGATTGGCACATGGTAAGTATTCAATAAATATTTGTGAAATAACAGAATGACAATTAAATTAATTTCTTGAGTTTCCAATGCTTTCCAGGCTTACTGAGATATAACTGACACATAACATTGTGTAAGTCTAAGGTGTCTAACATTATAACAGGATGATTTAATATATCTGTATATTGTGAAATGATGACCACAATAAGGTTAGTTAACACCTGCATCACCTCACATAATTACCTTTTTTTGGTGGTAAGAAGATTCAAAATCTACTTTCTTAGTGACTTTGAAATATATAATACATAGTTGTTAACTATACTCACCTTACTGTACATTAGAACTTATTCATCTTATAGCTAGAAGTTTGTACCCTTTGACCAACATCTCCCCATTTCCTTCATCCCCCAGGCCCTAACAATTACCATTCTACCCCTTGTTTCTTTAAGTCTGAGCTGCTAATTCTTTCTGCTCTACACAAAATGCACCTCAGATATCTCTAACAAACTACTACAAGTACAGATTTGATTATCAATGAATGATTTCTTCTTCAAAATAGAATCCAACAATAGAGCTTCCTATTGTAGCTGTTATGACAATCCCTATTATGACTTGCTTAGTTCCCCAAAATCTTCAACAATACATGGCTACAAGAGAAGAAAGAAAAGAAGGAATCAAGTTCTATATTTGATCATTTCTTGTAGAATACTAAAATTTGGTGTTTGATTATATGTAAGTGAAAATTCAAAAAATATCACCTCTTTTGAACAAATACTTCAAACTATCAAGAGGATAAATCCCAGATTCTGAAAGGTCATGGTACAAGGAAATAGACATATATAATACCATCATCTGGGCTTTCATTTTGACCATAAACATGTGCTTTGAAACCAGAGAAGAAATATCTTGTAGGGTTCCTCATTGCAATCCATGGGAGATTACAAACTGGATCATCCAATTTCTTGGAAGTCTTTCACATGCCTGTTGCTCCATGGGCAGTGAAATGCCCATGCTCCATTGCTCCAGTAATATTTTATGTCTTGACTCTGACCCTCTTCTCAGCATTCATCCAAGGAGTAAGTGGAAACTGTATAACATGTGAGCCACATGTGCTCAAATATTTTGCAAAAATAATTTTATAGAAAATGTCTCTGTATCTTGGAAAAAAACTGCAAATATTTCATTGGAATGAGATGCTGACAAATAAATGAAGCCTAAAAATATCAATTCCCTTGTTTCCCTGAGTCCTGGAGGATATTTCTCACTGTTTGTATATCACTCTAAAAGATCAATAAGAGATATACAAAGAGTCTTAGGATTTCAAGTGAAGATGTATATTAACTAACACATTTCTAGAGAAGGATTTATTTTGATAATTTTTGTTGCTTGGTGAGTACATATGGCAAATCTCTCTTCTGGAGATCGCTTCTTTCCCAAGCCCAAATATTACTTTTCAATTCCATTATGGTAATGAGCCCTGGTTTAAGGTGGATTCTCGGAGATCCCTGGGTGGCTCAGCGGTTTAGCGCCTGCCTTTGGCCCAGGGCGTGATCTGGAGTCCCAGAATCGAGTCCCGCGTCGGGCTCCCGGCATGGAGTCTGCTTCTCCCTTCTCCTGTGTCTCTGCCTCTCTCTGTGTCTATCATGAATAAGTAAATAAACCTTTAAAAAAATAAATCTAATGTGGATTCTTTTTGAAGTAACAAAACTTTTCAGCCATGTTGTGTTTTTACTGTTGTTTTTGTTGTATATACAGGATATATCCTAAACTCTGGCATTGGACAATTACTATCCCCAGGAAATATTTTAAAACAAGAAGGGTAAGTATCAATAATGATTTGAAACAAATCCTTTGTCAATGATCTTTCTCTAAATAAAATAATTGAATTGATATGGCTGACACTAGAGTTCTGAGTAAATAGGGCCACAAGAATGTTTAAAGGACAAAAGGACAAGCCATTGGAATATAGAAAAGACAGCATAGGAAATATTGCCAATAATACTGTAAAAATGTGTTTGGTGACAGATGAAAGCTACGCCTATGGTGGTGAGCATTGCAATATGTATAAAACTGTCCAAATCACTATGTAGCATGCCTGAAACTAATATAACATTGTATGTCAACCATAGTTCAATAATAATTAAAAAAAACTTTCAGAAAGGTTTTAGTGGACATGATTCCTCAAAAGCCCTGTGTGAATGAGTGAATTATTTCTTTAAAAACATTAATAATCTGTTTTTAGAAAACTCATAGACGGGCACTGAGGGGGGCACTTGATGGGATGAGCACTGGGTGTTATTCTGTATGTTGGCAAATTGAACACCAATAAAAAATAAATTTATTATTAAAAAAAGAAAACTCATAGAGTCAAGGATTTCACTGATCTGACTTACTACAAGCATATATACAATCTCAGGGCAATAAGAGCCTGTAAATAGTAATCTTTCAGACCTAGATGCCATTACAATGGTCAAATAAAAGAGTCACCCATCTATGAGGTCTGATCTTTACACAAATAGATCCAGGACTTCCTTGACTGAAACTCTTGGATTTACCCCTTAAAAAGGTTTCTTTGATTTATCAAATATTCCTTATAAAATACAAAAATATTTCCAGAAAAGGAAAAAATATATTAAGAGTTTATTGTTAATCTCTTGATTAAAATTAAAAGTACAAGTGCTGTCATATCCACAGCTGTTCCTCCAGCACTTAAAAGACCAGTTAACATGATGAAGAAGTTTAATAAATATTTTTGAATAAATTACTTTGCTTAATGTAAAAGACCAAAGTAAGGTACCAAAGAAATAGGAGAATTGAGTTTTGACTTAACAACAATTATCTCAGATGGAAGAAGCCAGAGAAAGAGAACAGTGAGAAGTTGCTTGTTTCAATTTGCCCAGATAGGAAAGGCCTAGATGCGCTTAGTGAGATATAAAGAGATACCAACGGTCTGCCTAAAATAGAGAAAAAGGAACATATGGGAAAAGGCTGTTAAAAAAAATAAAGGACTATGAAAATCCTCTATTTTCATAGAAGATAAAAACATAAAACTATTTTTCCATTTTTCTTGCAGCCAACCTGACTAGGAAGGAGCACACACTGAACTTGGTCACAGTCACTCAGACCAGCTACTCTCCCTCAGGTCAATTGCCATAAATGGCATATCTAGTTCACATATACACAAGGAAGTACATCGAAATATTTAGCCAGAGAAATTCAGAGGCCAGGGTATAGGACTCTTTCTCACAGTGTATAGTGCATTCAGTTGCCTAAAAAGGAAAGGAAGCCTTTTTTTATACTAAACATTGGTGTGAATACATCTAGTAACATAAATCCTGGAATGATAGAGGTATATTTTACTGTCACTTTAAAACACCATGAGTACCCTGGAGGAACTGAAAGTGAAAATGAATATTAGTTTATGTCCAGTTATGGCACTACATTTAAACAGATTCTTAACGTGTCTTGGTTTGATTTTTTTATTATTATGTCGGTTAGAAATCATAAAGAGTCAAATACTTGGGGTAGCCCAGGTGGCTCAGCGGTTTAGCACCGCCTTCAGATCCTTCAGACCCAGGATCGAGTCCCATGTCAGGATCCCTACATGGATCCTGCTTCTCCCTCGGCCTGTGTCTCTGCCTCTGTGTGTGTGTGTGTGTGTCTCATGAATAAATAAATAAAATCTTTTTTAAAAACTTAAAAAAAAAGAATCAAATACTCATAGACTGTTGAAAGACCTTCACATACACAGAAATGTAGTATTAAAAGTGCTAGCAAACAGGTGAAAAACTATATTAATATAAGTAATTATTCACAATCATAAAATTTGGCTTTCCTAATATCTAGACTAGCATTCTTAGGAAGGAAAAAATTGTTACCAAGTCATCTCCATGTCTTCCAGACCAATGAATGCATCCAGCACAAAAACCACCAACTCTGTTAGCCACTTCATCCTCCTGGGCTTTCCCTCAAGCCCAGAAATGCAGCTGCTCTACTTTGGGCTCTTCTCAGTAGTCTACACCCTGACTCTGATGGGGAACGCAGCCATTGTCTGTGCTGTGCACTGGGATCGGCGTCTTCACACTCCCATGTACATCTTCTTGGGGAATTTCTCTCTTCTGGAAATATGTTATGTCACCACGACTGTTCCTAACATGTTGGCCAATTTCCTCTCTACAAGTAAGTCCATTTCCTTTGTGAACTGTTTCACACAGTTCTATTTCTTCTTCTCTTTTGGATGTGATGAAGGCTTCTTCCTTTGCATCATGGCCTTTGACAGGTACCTTGCCATTTGTCATCCTCTCCATTACCCACGCATCATGACTAAGCAGCTATACACTGGCCTTATCATCTTCGGGTGGTCGGGTGGGTTCCTCCTCTTCCTAACCCCAGTTGTTCTCATTTCACAGTTGCCCTACTGTGGCCCAAATACCATCAACCATTTTTTATGTGACCCCGTCCCACTGATGATGCTGTCCTGTTCTGAAGATGCCATCACTCAGCTCATTTACTCTACTTTCAATGCTATTTTCATGATTGGCACCTTTCTCTTTATCCTTTGCTCCTATGCTCTGGTGATTCTGACTGTGCTGTGGATGCCCTCACAGGCTGGCAAATGCAAGGCTTTCTCCACTTGTGCTTCTCATTTGGCAGTTGTCACCCTGTTTTATGGCTCTATTATGGTGATGTATGTTAGTCCTGGATCAGGACACCCAGTGAAAATTCAAAAATTCATTGCCTTATTTTATTCAGTGATAACACCCCTCTGTAATCCTCTAATCTATAGCCTTAGGAACAAAGAAATGAAGAATGCTCTGAGGAAAATCTTTGGGACTGAACATGGTGTTCATAAAGTGTAAATGAGAGCCGAATTCCATCTCTCAAATGCAACTTACCTTAATAAAACATGAGTGATATATTTGTCTACAAACTCATTAAGTTTCATTAAGAAACTATTATCATCTTAAACACCACTCACCACAAGATACATATTTAAGAAGATGTATTACCAAGTGGCTTCAATTTTGTTTTGAAGTTAATATCAAGTAAGTGAAATTTTAGGAATCTAAGCCCATTAGTATTTCTGTATATAATTCAATTTCTAAAAAGACAGTAGTCAATTTTGCATTACTGAGTGCAACTCAGTAATAGAGATCATAGATTGCTTTGGGCATTAACACTTTAAGCCAGTAATTCTCCACTGAGACATACTGACCAGTAAAGAAGATTCAAACTTGAGGGAAGTAGACCTTTTCAGAGTGCAGCATGTGTCTTTAAAGACATGCTTAGCTGGGTGTTAGTGACTTTTCAGAGTGTACAAGACAAGGATTAGGAATTTCAAGTGTCTTAGCTATCTAGAACATAGTAAAGATAGGAGTTAAACATAAAGTCTAGGACATGACTCAAGACGTAATTCACCTTAGGGTAAATCCAGTTTACACAGTAACTTCCGGTACCATGTGAGGTTAGTATTAGTACTGTGTGATTTATTTTAATACCATAAGCATTCTTAAAACTATTTCCATAAACTTCACACTTGTCAGAATGGCTAAAATAAAAAAACACAAGAAGTAAGTGTTGGCAAGGATGTAGAGAAAAAGGAACCTTTGTGTACTGTTGGGGGGAATGCGAAATGGTATAGCCACCATAGAAAACAGTATGGAGGTTCCTCAAAAAATTAAAGAATTACCATATAGTCTGGTAATTCCACTACTGGATTTACCTAAAGAAAATAAAAATGCTAACTGGAAAAGACATATGCACCCTTAGATTCATCGTAGCATTATTCACAAGAGCTAAGAAATAGAAGCAACCCAAGTGTCCATCCATAGGTGAATAAAGAAAATATGATATATATATCATATATAATGATATAGATATAATGGAATATTACTCAGCCATAAAAAAGAATGAAATCCTGCTGTTTGCAATGACATTGATGGATCTAAAGAGTATAATGCAAAGTAAAATAAGTCAGTCAGAGTAAAACAAATACATGTCGTCTCACTCATAGGTGGAATTTAAAAAAAAAAAAGCAAAGAAACAAAGAAAAAAAGAGACCAAAAAACCTCAGATTCTTAAATATAGAGAACTGGTGGTTGCCAAAGGAGAGGTAGGTGAGGGGATGGGTTACACAGGTGAAGGGGATTAAGAGTGCACTTATCATGATGAGCACTGAGTAATATATAGAGTTGTTGAATCACTATATTGCACACCTGAAACGAATATAATACTGTATATTAATTATACTGGAATTGATTTTTTCAATATATATAACTAATAACCTTTCTCAGTGAGTTTTTATGGACTAATACAAAAATAAAGCAATATTATATTGATACATCAATATTTTCCTACATTTAGCCTTTTGAATTTATGTAAATACCTCTATGTACACTTTTAAAGTGCAATTTTCTTTTTTTATGTTCTGTACCTTTATTCAATTTTACTTTTTAAGTTTTATTTTAATTTCAAGATAGTTAGCATACAGTGTTATATTAGTTTCAGATATGCAATATAGTGATTCAATGATTCTATACATTGGCTCGGTGCACATCATAATACTGGATCTTAAGTGAAAAAATAAAAATTAAAAATAATTATTTCCATAAAAATATTTAATTAACATCATTGCTTTAATTATGACTTTTATTTTGTTCTTTTGCCATTTTTTAAAGTGTGACTCTCCAAAATGCAATTAAAGGAAATCATAATATAAAATGTAACTTACAGAATTTTAATTTGTATACTTCAAGAAGTCATTTGCTCCACAAAATGATGTGAAACAGCAACTGGATTTTATTTCATAAAGAACCCGGATTGAGAATATTTGTTGAGCTTGAAAGGCAGGATTTCTGAGTTCAGGAAAAGAAGTGGCTATCTTTATCCTACTTCACATAGGCAATAAATTAAATAACTGAACAATTGCCTAAAAACTACTTTATATTGGAAGAAAATATAAACCATTTGGAACTTTATCCAAACCAATTTCAATGGTAGGCTTGAAGTGCTAATAATTTTAACTGATTTTCATATGTGGAGCTTAAAGAATGCTCATGCCAGATCCATTCACCTTTCTTAATTATATAAGAAAAAGTCACAAAAATTAGTGATTCTTAATAAAATATTGAGTTGAGTTTTATGAAGATATACAGTGCTTGTATTTTTAGTTGCTTTCAAGTTGATTATTAGCCAAATCTTTCTTACCCATATTATTTTACCTCATATTAAGTTTGCTGCCACTAGATAGAATTGCAAATTATTTGGTACATTAAGAGCATATCCTTAAGGCATAGACCTACTTTTATTGCACCAACATTTCTTCCTTAGTTCATACCTATGATTTTATGGTGGAAGTGAGTTTCATAAACCAGCTAACAAAAAAGGAAAAGAGCCTCAGGCTTGGTTCACAAATAGATTGCCTGAAAAATGCTACTGCAAGAAAGAAATGCATTACCATTGCATTATAGCCCCTGTCACAGGTGGCCATAGAGTGTAGGGGTAGAGGAAATTCTCATAAAGCAAAATGCTGAGAGAAATACACTTATTTGTCTACTTTTATATGGTGGGCGAAATAACCTGCTACACAAGATGAGGATATACATGCCTAATGACTAAAAGTTTTACTGCTTGGTCAAGGATCTTGAAGGAACCAGATAGGGAACCCAGAGTCAAGGAAGTTTGAAGAGGCAGCATATGAATGGACCTATGAGATTGAGCACAAAGTATGCAAATCTTTGTGCCTCAAATCGATGCTTATCGAGAAAGGATCCTCCACAATGGAGACATTCAACAAACCAGGTACAAAGAACAAGTCATCCAGGAAATGTCAAGCGGCTCGGATATCCTTCACCCTAGTGCTTACACAAAGTGCCCATAAAGTGAGTGGTATGGATGGAGGCTGTATGTAAGCCACAAAATATGGACCGTCTCTTACCAAGGCTGGTAAAGCCACTGAGCTGCTGAGGATGCAGCCTCAGTCATAGACCAATGCTAAACTCTCAATATGGCACCATCCTTTAAGAAAACTAAGCAGTAGCAGGTAACAAATTTATTACATTCAAATTACTTTCATTATTTGTCCTTTCTTTGATTGACTTTTTTTTCTTATATGTGGGTTAGACTTCCTTTCTTGAAGAGCCTCTGCCTGTACCACTCACTCTCCTTGTGCTTTGGAATATCTAATTTACTATAATGGGTCCCTGCATAACACTACCATCCCCACAAAGTAAAACAACAGGCACATGATCATGAGATCACAAGATTCACTGACCCTACCATATACTGTATCATATGGAACCCGTCTACTTGGTTGAATATAGGAATGCAATATTAAAGGATAACCAGGGTTCCTCAACCTAAGTTCTATTGACATTATGGGATAAACAATTCTTTGTTGTGGGGAGCTGTCCTTAGTAATGCAAAAATGTTTAGCAACATCCCTGACTTCCAGCCACCATTCACCTACTGGTATGACAGGTGTGACAACCAACAATGTCTTCAGACAGTGTCAAATATCCCCTGGTAGGTGGGGAGAGCAGTCTTCAGTTGAGAACCACTAGGGTAAATAAAGATATCAGTTTGGGGCTATCCTGCAAATTTGGGACTCCCCTCCAGAAAGTATTACACATATTTAATCAACGGCCAATAAGAAGAGCTTCACCCTCAACAGTTAAAATTACAACAGTCTAAAATAAATAAATAAATAAATAAATAAATAAATAAATAAATAAATAAATAAAATTACAACAGTCTGAGAACAAAAAAAGTGAAAACTTGACTTCCCATTATTTCCAGTGATTTTCTTGCAAATTTGTTCTTGCTGCTTCTACAAACTTAAGTTCTGCCAGATAGACCATTGGTTACCAGGATGGGAGGAGAAGCAGCTTCTAGAAGGAGCCCAAGAATGGGTTCCATTAAGCCTGAAGCAATGATTGCTTCTCTTGTAACTGTCTTGGTGGACCGATAGAGAAAGGATTTGCTATACTGGTCAATGTAATCTATTATAATTATCCATGCTTGCAGCTAAAAAATAGAGATAGAGGAATATGTTGGGAATTGAGAGAATTCACTGGGGCTTCTTTTGGTGCTTTCAGCCTCAGTTATATCACTGAACAAGAAAATGTAGCATATGCAGCTTGGCAAGGGCAAAACAAGACTTCTACAGATCTTTTTATCTTCTGTCTTGGAGCCTTCTCTAAAGTCCCTGGGACTTAGTCAGGTAGACAGAAAATGCAACCAGAATATAAAGAAAGTGTTGCCCTTAGAGACAACTGTCAAACTAAAAGGTGGAGAGGCCAAAGGATACGTGACCCAGCTTCTTAAAAACGCTGGCAGAGTCAAGACCCAAATGCCTACACTGGAGACCTCGGACCATACAAACTAGTATTAGCTCTCTCTGCTTCCAAGTTCACTCTCCCTGCCCTCTATTCCTCTTTCCTAGGTAGCCCCGAATAAACTGTGCAACTAAATCTTTATCTGAGGTTCTTATTTGAGGAAGCTAAACCAAAACAAATATTAACTCTGATATTTCCCAATTATCAGCACACATACACTCCTACTGCCACATCTATACTACTTTCATTCTTAGACCCTCCTTCTTAGAAAATTAGGCATTTGTCATCCTTTTCATAGGCAACTTCTCCACTATTTCCTTGAACCATCCGTTCATACATCTTTGAAGACTTAATATTTACCTTACCTTTTTTCAGAATCACGAACATTAAACTTTTATCTTTCCAAAGCCTCCTTCTCCAAACAGGAGAGACAGGGAAGGAGGGGGGTTGAGAGAGAGGTTGAGAAAAGAAACTGTCTTCTGGAATGCACTCACCTTCAGGTGCTCACATTTACCCTCTATATC